CGAAACTCCTTCGCCCTAGGGCAAAACACCCTTAAAGGCGAAGTGTGGAATTTCTGCACTACTAGTGGTACCAAAGAGAATTGCAAAAAGTATGATGGCTTTCAAATGCTCCCCTTTCTTCCATTTCTCGAATAAACAAGTAGTCCCGCCCCACACCCTTGGTTGAGACGATGTTGGGTTGCTTAAACAATTTCAAAACATTTTTGGTACCACTAGAGGCACAAAAATAAAAATAAACTTTAAGAGGATGACGAGAGTCTTTACAACAAAAAGAGATGCAACATTACCACATTGAACAAAACTCTTATATCAGAGAAAGCTCAGAGAAAGAACAGTAGATAGAGGAAGAAAAAGATGTCAGTAGCACTTTAGCCATCCATCTCCCAGAGTTCACATGGTCATGGGTGGGGGGGGATAAGAGAAGTACTTCAGCAGTAGTTAAATCCCAGAGCAAACAGAAGAGCAAACACAACAGTGACACTTTATATACCAGCTTTATGAGTATTATCTGCCCAGAGACAAGGTGCTCAATTAGACTATGAAAGCTAGTTAAAGGCAATGATTAGGAAAGCAGAAGAAACAGCTGATATATGGGGAAAAGGAGGGGGGGGGGGGGGGAGGTTGTTTGCTTGCACTTTCTCACTTTTCACTCTCCTTTTTCCCACATGACAGAGGACATCACCCTAATCCTAAAGGCAAACTGTCCCTTGGTGTGGGAACCAGTGGCGTTTCCCCTTTTTTCACCATGGGACTGCTGTGCGTACATACAGTCTTATCAGGAGTAGGGCCATAAAGCCATTGGTGCTGATCGCTTTCGGAGAAACAAGTGGTAGATTGTTGGTTGTGCCATCACTACTGAGATTCAGTGGGGTCATAAACACGACAGTGGTTCAGATTCCCCTAAGTTACACACGCTATCCTTCCCAGAGGACAGCTCCATACGTGCCCCTCGCTGACACCGGTTAGCATCTCCATGACTTTGTTGTAATGGCACAATTCAGCCAATGTGAAATTCATGAGCGCATCATGCAAAGGGGCTTGGAAGAGAGAACACGGTGCATTGTGTCAAATAAAAATTGTTCTTTGATTTCGTACTTCTTGTCAAGCATGTGCATTCCCAAACGCTTACCTGCACTTACTGGAATTGGTACCTAACTCTTTTTCCTGTGATCCCTTGCTTTCTCCATGCCTTTCCCTCTCTATCTTTCTTCTCTGCTCCTTCTGTGGGTGTGTATGATGTGATGTGTGATGTGAATGAGAGAGAAAAACAGCAGGGGCTGCTCGGGCCGCCCGGTGCCGGTCTTAGATCCCTGCACTATAAAAACCGCACACCTTTTATCAGCCATTATGCCTCTGATTTAACCAGATTACCCCACCAACGTGCTGCCACTGATACACGGAGAGAGCATAGAGCGTTCAGCCTCCCCCTCCTGTGTGCAGCACTTTTGCATGCACAGAGGAGAATCTAGTGAGGCAGGAACAACCACTGACTGACTACACCTGAATGACAACATAGAGCCCCTATCGCTCTTTGAAGCACAACATTCGCACACACCAGGCACGATTAAAGCAAAAAAACAAAGTCAAAGAGCAAGGGCATCCAGACAGCGAGCGAATGGAGAAGCGTCCTCCTAACAGCTCAAAGTGACTGAGATAAACAAAGCCAGGACCCTGCTGTAAAATCAAAAAGGAAAGTGATCAGCATTGTAGTGCACTCAGCAATTGAGGAGAGCACTGAAAATAGCACATGAGAAATGCAAAGGCATGCAGGCGGCACTCAGAGACCGAAAGAAAGAGCGAGAGAGAAAGGGTTAGGCAGGGTTCTTCCAGTCTGCTGGACAATCGTTGCAATTAACGGGTGACTTTGACAAACACGTGAGGCGGGGGCTCGGTGGGCGGATCCAGCCTCAGAGGTTCGCTGGCATCCTGTCAGAGGCCATGTCTGCTGGTCAGTCTCAGATGTAAGCCAATCACAGAGCAGAAACGGTGGCCAGGAGCCAATGAGAGCTCTCGCTCAGACTGACCTTCACACAGGCCGGTAGCAAACTGACCATTAAGTCAATGATGACAATAGCACTCACCACAATCAATCTAGCAAAGTAATGATTAGTTTGATGCATGAAGTTTAGCTGCAGCTTTTCTCGGCACAAGTAATAGCATCAAATGAGTCCACGTAACATTTACAGTACTGTTCACTGACCTGTATATTTTTTTACCAGCACATTCCAAAATGTTCACACATCTTAGGCCATTTCAGTGGGTTTTTTACAGTAAATTGACCTGTTTACACCACACCTGAATGGTCGCATTCGTCAATAGGCATTCCAGTCGAGTTTGGTCAAGTAAATGAACTTCATAACTCGCTTTGAGCTCTGACTGGCTCCCACAGTCTTACCGCAGTACAGTTTTGGAGTCCGTGGCTCTGCATGTAAATTTATGCAGACAATAACAAGAGCCTCACAGGAACTATTTGACTTGGCACACATGGGGCCTTTCGCAAATGGGTCCTGGTAATTGCTGATACATATCTGACTCCTGTAGTCATCACCTTGTTCCCAGACCCTTTGATGAGGCAGAGAAACCCAAAGCCTTTCAAAACACTTAGCATGATCTCTGCGTATGCGAGAGCATGTCATTTTCCACGCGCCCTTCCCTTTTTTGGTAGGGGTTCATATCGCCTTCGTTCTCACTGCAGCCCAAGGGTGTCTCTTTTAATCTGGGTGGGCGCTGGTCTTGCCAAGAGTCCAGAGTGAGCAATACTCGACAGTCCATAATAATGATATGTTTTCTTTTTACCCACTGAGGGTGGATGCTCAGAAAAGATGGCTTCAAGATACAATTCCAGAAGATGTCCCCCGAGAGGACGGCTGTTAAACAAAGGCGGGTGCATACGAGCACGCTACGCTAATATATGGGGTCTAATTAGAGATGGGCTGGACTGAGTCTCTGCTGGACTCCTCTAAGAAAGTTTCTGTGAGTGCAGTGAGGGAGGAGCGGGCTTTCTTCTCCCCCCTTAAAGGGGAACACTCGCACTTTGAAGGGCACAGAATCATGAACAAGGAAAATGCTGTCCTCAGTCGTCCTAAGATGCTATTTAGGTGCGGTATGGAAAACATGGTGTGGATGGCAACCACTAGAACCATCAGCTATGGTGCCAATCTCTATGTTGATGGGTTACAGATGTACTATGTTGTGCATGTGGGTGCAATGTTCCTTTGCAGTTGGAAGGTTTATGACTGTTTGTTATGATGCTGTTATTGGATAAAAGTCATTCTCATTTCCTTCACTGTTTTTTATTTTTTTATTTCAAAGATGCAGGAAATATGCAGTATAGCAACAAGACTCTTTCTTATAGATATTTATAAGGTAGATAACTTGTTAAAGCTAATTATAAGTGTAAGCACATGGAAAGAAACAATCTCAGAAGAAAGTCTGAGACTGAGAGAGGGGCCAGTTGGGGACATATTGGCATGAGTTTCTTGGCTAACAGCAATGGTCTTATTGGGATTATGAAGTCACTCCTTACAGAACATGCTAATGCGGATAGCAGCACTGCTTTACACAATCAACAATTAACCCACATTAACATAATACTTCCACTAAACCTCCACTGGCGTGAATAAGGGCGAAAGTGCTTGGGTCATTTGTTCACGCTGAACAAACTCAGCATACATCCAGGTTCATAGCTCAGCCTCACAGCGGCCCTTCCTGCTAGCGCACGACACAACAAACACTCATCCAAAACACTGGGGTGAGGGAACATGAGGGGACTCAGGAGGGGGGTGAACATTAAAAGCCTGACGATAATTGGAAGTATGTGAAAAATGACGTGTCACTTTGGTCAATAAAGAGCAGAGGTCACCGTAGGCAGGAGCCCAAACTCGGCACAAAATGTGCTCATTAAGGCATCCAATCAGAGTGTGGCGAGCAACCGGCCATTAGTCATCGGCCATCTGACCAACTCGGCTGGGCCGGCCTCTCTCTTATTGCTCTCCCTCTCTGTGGAGGGGGAAAACCGGCGCTGGTAAATAAATCGTTGCTCAGTCATCTGGAACATAATGTGGTCCTTTCTGCTCTCATCCTGCTTTGCCTGCTGGCTGTGCAGCCCTCAAACTGCTGCCTTGACATCCCTTTCAATAATAAATGAAGTTGCTTTTTGCCTACAGTTTGTTTGAAACCCTCCTCCACTCCTCCATTCGGCACCTCCCACGCCAGTTCTCATTGGCGAAACCACACAACTAACCAATCACCATGCCGAACATCTGATGACTCTGTTTACAGTTAGAATTTTACAGACATGACATGAAGTGAGTGAAGCTGGCTTTCATTCCTTTGAGAGGGAAATCCTACCAAGAAGATATCCAAGATTGTTTTTTGAGTATTTATCTTTTCTCTTTGAAAAATGTTAAACTCTTGGACTGGAGTATAACAGAACGTATAAAGCTTCATCAGAGTAAAATCTCGTTTGTTAGACTGTCATCACCAGCGTCTTTCTTCAGACCCCCTGTCCAGATGGGCCCAGAGGAAGGTTCATTAATGCAGTCTTATCACAACCAGCTGATGGGCCTACGCCACATCACCGGCCAGCAACGGCCTAAACATCTGCTTTAACTCTCTCCTGCTCTCTACATACACAAGCTTGGCTTAAGATGTTAAGCTAGACACATTTGCATAGTCAGATACTGACACTTTCATAGAAACATACTTTTTACACTGCTCTCTGGAATACTTGACTCTGATTGGTCAATCACGGTATAGTCAAGTATTCTGCAAACTATACAAGTGATCGCTATCCCATATTTTCTACCCAACTCTGCTACTTCCTCTTGTTTCTAAATCAATATTCCATGTCCTTTGTTTCATTTCATTGGTAAGTAGTTGTTTAACATGCAATACAATTTACAGTCCTGATGACACTGTTAAGGTTTATTTTATGATAATGGTGGGGTGACTGTACATTTTCCCTTACATATGCATCAAAGGATGTCTCAGAACTGTACCTTGTTCGCTGCTGTTGTCCCCGCTGTGCGATGTGTGTCCTCCGCTGGATGGTCCCGGTGTGCCCCCGGAGCGTGTAGAAGCTGTATCATCATGGTCTCTGTTCCATGAGGTCTGTGCGGAAAGAGAGAGAGAGACAGACAGAGAGTAAGGCGGACAATCAGGCATCAGATCACAGGAAAACATGCACACGCTACAGTCCCATGTTACAAAGACAGCTGGCTTTATCAGATGTTCCTCATTTTGTTGTTTTTCATCCTCTTATATCAGTCCCTACAACCTCACACAGCACTTCGATCAGCAAAGCTTACAAGACTTATGGACCAAACCCAGTCACTGGCTTCCTTAGACTCACACAAAACCAAGAGAATGTAGCAAAACAGAAGGCAGGTACTGTAAAAAATAAAATACAAATACAGCACTAGTTTAATTAACACATTTAAATTGTAAGTAAAAAAAAAAGTTGTGTTACCCAAGACAGAATATCCATAATCCAGAAACAAAAAATAAAGACAATGAGAGAAGAATTAGCAATAGCAGCTAAGATGTGTATGCCTGTCCATACACATGAACTGGCTAACTCTGAATACAACAAGAGCCAGTCACTCATCTCTTATATCCCAGAGCGAGGGAGGGTATATGTGTGTGTGTGAGTGTGTGAGAGTGAGGCTGTTCGCTTGTCGCTGGCCTAGCGAATCAAAATGAAATCAAATAAGAGCCATTCTCCTTGAAGTTGGGAAGAGGAGGAGGAAAAAAAGATAGAAATCCTATTGACAATTAAGCTTAGGTGTATAATAGAGAGAAAGTGTCAGCTGTTGGGCGGATGGTATGTGGCAAATGGAGCAGACATGGGGATAAAGAGAAGTGGACGGAACAATGGCGAGCCGAGGCCTGCACACACTCAGCCCCATGCAGGGCCTACTTGTACTATAGAACAAAACAGATGTTGCCTCTTATCACAGGGTGCCTCCACAAAAGTAACATTAGTGTGGGAGGAAAATATGAGCATCAGAGATGATAATGCTCAATAGCAGGCCCAGAAAATCTTTAGACCTTTTTTTTATATGCCAATTTTGAGGTGAATATTCAGTTCTAGGGATTTAAACATGGAATAATGTGCTAAACATAGTTAAGATGGTGTATTCTCACTGAAAGCTGAAAGTATAATCAAAATAGACAAAATATTAAATAGAAATGACTTTAGAACTTTTCATGTATGTGGAAATCTGAGAAGAGTTTTGCACTCACAGATTACTACACGTATGCACAAACATAGCCGTGCCAAAAAACAACAACATTGTATTCATGTGTGATTTGTACTTACACAAATTAGTACTAAGTAATATTAATTAACTACATGTACTTACTATAGAGTTACGGTTAGGGTTGGAGTTTGGGTTACTATGTAATTATGCATAATTGGTAACACTTTACTTAAAGCCTTTATGCATAATCCATTATAAAAGTATTTTAATTCATTAATTATGCTTTGTAATGAATCTTATAATGCATTGCATAGTCTCATGAATAATTGTAACCACAGTTATAATGCATCATAATACACCATTAGAAAGTATAATGCATTAAAACTCAACAAACAACCAGTATCAGATGTAACAAGGAATCTGTGAATATTATAATGCATTTGAACTTTGGTTACAATTATTTATGAAAAGAAATAATACATTATGATGTACATTATGAATACTTTTATAATGCATTATAGACAAAGACTTTAAGTAAAGTGTTACCGGATAATTTACTGTTTTTACTATAGTAAGTACATGTATATCACCTTAAAATAAAGTGTACAAAAATATTATTCATAATTATGTCTAAATGCAAACATAACAAACATAAATATATAAAGGACAAGCAGTTTGGAAAATGGAACGTTTTAGCTCTGTTGATTTTATAACTACACTCCTGAGGTAACTAAACATGTAAATATTGATCTCTTAGAATGAAAACCATAAATATAAATGTAAATACTGAATAAAAAATAATAATAATAAAAAATGGAACAAACCAAACTGCATTTGATATATTTGCCACAAGCCAAAATAGTGCCAGCGGCTCTAGATATATTTTTCAAAAATGTCCAGAAACAGTCACACACACACAAAAAAAAATGGTGTATTCTGCAGCATACCAAAAGTATGCCGTAAGAGGTAATCTACAACACATGCCCAGGGAGCAAACAGTTAAAACCGAAATTGCCAGTTTCTACAACTCTTTGCAAAGAAAGAGCGAGAGAGAGAAAAAAAAATGGAGGGAACTTGTTTATTCAGAGCTTTGTGGAAAAGAATGGTACAGCACCCTGGAGACCGAGAGCCCTAGAGTGCCCACACGTAAAAGGATGTTTTTTACGCACAACAAATCCCACTTGAAAATATAATTAGAACGGAGAAAATAGCAAACTATTGCATTAACTGTAATTGAACAAAAGAGCAGCGGGGCTTGTGGGAGGCTGTCGCTCGGCCCCATGGGAATGGGGGAGGGTCTCGGCCGAGGGTGAGTGACATCTCCAGGGTGCACTCCAGTCTATTTATAACTGCCCCGACAATCTCGTCCACCACAGATCTAACAGCTAATTAATAATATAAAAAAGCCCAGCCAGAACACAGCGCAGTCCGCCGTCGAGCAGACACCCGGAGGAAAGCGCACAGGCGCGCGAGAGAAGGAGTAAATATGTGGGCCAGAATGAACAGAGGGTGGAGGCGGTGTGGATGCAGATGGTTACAGGAGAGATGAGTGCCTGTCCTGCTGCACACAACAACACACTTGATATATTCACTGTCCCTCTAATGAGCTAGCTACAATTTATTCAGTGCTTTTTTCTTTTCTTTTTTTTTTTTTGAGTGGGGGGGGGGGGGGGGGGGCTTCATCCCTTCCCCCTCCACGTCTCCTTTTCTCTCTCCCTCCTCGTGTCATTCTCTCTCTCCAGTGCAGGATGTAGATTAATTCAATGCTTAATTGTTTAGTAAATTCAATTTTCCACATTCTATTCTGCATAGCTTTAGCTAAAGTTCTTAAAGCTGCAGTGCGTAGCCCAGGGAGAAGCGTTTGTCATCTGTGCCTTTTCCTTTTTTCTTTTCATTACCATTTTCTTCCTCCACCACTTAATTCGCCATGAAAAGATTTTCCTTGCTGGAAATTCTGATTCTGCTATGATCGGTGAGGCATTCCAATTCATTGCATTTTCATTGTGTTGGGTCTTAGATGGAAGCTCTCTTTCTCTGCACATTATACACGCACTCATGCAAAGAATATTGGGCTTCCAATTCATTTATAATAATAAAGAAAAATGTTTCAGGTTACTGTAGACTTCACAGGGGAAAGAAAACTCATAAACAGTGTATGTTTACAATTTCATGCCACAGTGACTGCTCTCTCACTCTCTCTATTTTTTTTGTTTGTTTTTTTAACACAGACTCACCAGTGTCACATTGTACTAGGCTATTTTTGGTTCCTGGCTTTATCTAGATAGCACAACAAAACGGACCAAGAGAGAGAGAGATAGAAAGAGAGAGAGTTTTATATGCCTCATCAAACCAGATTAGCAAAAACACTTGAACAAGCTCACTAAAATACTCAAGCTCTGCTGGGAAATACTTGGGAAGCACAAGGTTCACACATGAACTTTGCCCAGTGGATTGCAACCAGAAACTAAATCTGTTCAGGACACTTGTTTATTTGTTTACCCTGGCTTGTTGATAAGGCTGAGATCCTCAAGGTTGATAACAGACCACGTGGCCGTCGGTTCAACTCTGCAGAAAAGCATTGGGGCTTCTTAAATGAATGGATGTGGTAATGACATGCACAGAAAAAAAAAAGAAAAAAGGGGAGGGTGAATGCTAGAACAGTCCAATACCCCAAACACCTCCTTTAACAAATCTTACAAAGCAAAATGGAGCAAAATCGGGGAGGAGGGACTTTTGGTCTACAGAGAAAGCGAAATCTCTTAAAATGGCCTGTGGGTGAGATCTCGTTTCAAAACCAGTAAAGTCGCCCTTAATGGCACTACTGGGTAATCACACATCTCCTTTAATTACAAAACTGGCTAGAAGACTTTGGAGTGGAATCCTCAAGCTTCATTTCTCAAAAGTTGATCATTGTCTTAGACAAAAAAAAAAAAGAAAAAAAAGATGGAACAACTGCAAAGAAGTTTAACTATGGAAACAACTCTAAAGAATATAATTTAGACAGAAAGTTAGTCTTGGCATGAAGCAACATTATATGTTTATGAATAGCATATATGAATAGGGCTCATTTATTTATCTCATCAGCACATCTTTAAAAAGAGCAGTTAACTCTGTTTTCAATTGAACTAATCATTTATATCATTTTTCAATGCCACTTTTTCAAAGGGTAAAATAGTCACGTTTTCTCTTTCTATCACTTGTTGAATCGTTGAAAGCATCCAACATTCGTCCCGGATAAAGAACGAGGGATCTCACCTTCTCATTACTCCAACAAACAGAATGATTAGATCACATAATAATTTTAACATCGCCCAACCATACTACCAAAAGACGCAAATAATCTGCATTTCTTTCAAAATAGTTGAATAAAAACAGATTCTGTGCACTCGGCTCTTATCCGAAAGTGTGAAAAGATGTTTGCTTGAGCACAAGTGATACATTCGACAGTGAGGATAAAACAGCAACCAAAGGAATCTCTCACGACAGGGAAACATCATTTAAACAACCCTTTAAAACAGTCCCATGTGTTCTCATTCACTAAAAGCTGAGCTTATATGAAATTGTGCAAAACTATATTGTGAATCACAAATTATTAAGCACAAAAATGGCACAACTTCTGGGTGGCCTCTATGCAATTCATCAATAGCATAGCTTATACTCTGTAATAACACCCCTAGTTTTTAAATTGGCCCTGAACAAAACAGCAAGGAAACTGCAAACAGAGAAACTATTCAGCATTTCAATTATTTCAACCCCTCTTCAGGCCGCATGGAATAATCTAAAGAGCCCTCGAGTCCTGAAGTCTAAGCACTGCGGAGGTTTGCATGGCATTGAGTTCATTAGCAAATGGCAGTGCCTCTCTGCAATTAAAGACAACTGTGCAAACGCTGCAGCCCGTGGAAAAGAGCGTCAGCACGGAGCAAATACGTCACACACAAGTCACCGTGAGCCAGCCAATCGGAAAACAAATGATCCTGCTCTGAGCCGAGGCACAAGAAGGCAATAAACATGCCGAAACTAAAGATAAAGTCATTACTCTGACGCCACTAAATCTATTAGTTGATAAATGGTTGTATCGAAATCAATCAGTCATGACTAATTTAACTATTTCTATAACATAGCACACTTAAATAATAATTGTAACAAACGAGAGAGAAAAATGTAATGTATGGGTGATTCTTCAACTGGAATAACTTTTCTGTCCCCAAGAGAAAGGAAAAGAAAAGAAAAGAAACCAAAAGAAAAGAAAAAGAAACCAAAATCAGTCTTGTTTTGCAGTCAGTTTTAAGGTTTACATTATTATAGCTTTATACTTTTATTGTTGCTTTTGTAAGTTCTTTTTTAAAGGTTTAAATCTTGAAAAAATGTCTACCCAGACTTTTTAACTTGATAATTAATGCATAAAAAGTGTTAATGTCAAAAAAATTTAACTTTGCACTATTTCCTACATTAATGTAATAATTTCAGTTCATTTATAATCTCAGTTAATTTAGTATTTTATAACAAAAAGTCACTGCATGTCTATACTGTTGTCATTGCCTCTTGTAGAGAATTAAGAATTTTTGCATTAAAGTTAAATGAAAATGTGACTACGTTGAGAGTGGCTTTTTTTTACCAATCAAATCAGTATTTCATCATTTTAATTCAGAAAGAAACTATTTCATTTTGTGAGTTTCAAGTTAATTGATGAACCTGAACCTGTTTAGAAAAACAAAAAAACTAAACTTTCTCCACACTGTAAAAAAAAAAAAACTTGCTGGCTTATTTTTTTTTTACATACAATCAACTTGGATGTTTAAGTCATTTCAACTTAAATTACATTAAAATGACTTAGAAAATGTGTTGAATCTTGTATAACTTATAAAAAAGTTGAAAATTGCTTAACTTATTTTGATGAGTTCAAGCAATGTAAAACCTTATGTTGTCATAACTTATTGATCATATTTTTTTCAGTGCAACAATTGTTATAAATCAAGTCTAGAACTCATTATACAAAAATACACTTGAAGGTTGATCAAGCCTGTGATCAGATCAGTGTTAGAGAAACATAGTTTTAAAAAACTGTGTGTGTGTGTGTCACACTTTACATCAGCGTTCAGATTGTTTAAATAATATACGACTTTTATAATAAATAATATACGACTTAATATAGGAGATAATTTACTCTAGGCCTATGTCAACAAAAAAAACAAAAAAATCCTTAATGTGGTAATTATACACATAGGCCTAATATAAAGTGGTAGCAGGATCTACTGAACATGATCCTCCAGATTGAAGACCGCAGTGAAGGGGTTAACCAGTAGTTAACTAGTCCCGGCTCATAAGGCACCTGAGGCTCATATGGCCCCGCGTTTATCAGCGCAATATAGCCGAGGAAAACAACGTGATCCAAACTGGCCGAGCCGCATTCACCAGTTCGAGAGAGAGAGAGAGAGAGAGAGAGAGAGAGAGAGAGAGAGAGAGAGAGAGAGAGAGAGAGAGAGAGAGAGAGAGAGAGAGAGAGAGAGAGAGAGAGAGAGAGAGACACTGACTTTTTCACCCCTGAGCTCTGCCCTCCTTCTCTTCACACGATACTTGCAAAACAATGCTAAGCTGGAGTTGAGACATTATTGATACGATGCTTCAGTGCACGGAGGACGAAAACACAGAACAGCGCTGGACCACAGAGTTTAATAAATTCTATGTATATTTCAGATTTTCTTATGCTGCAGTATTCCTGCTGGAATAAATTGGCCTTTGAATAAATGAACCGCCTCTCTCCCTCTTGTTAACATTGTTGAGAATTTGCACAAAGGAGATTTTTTTTCCAGTCCAATTCAACTTTATGCCCGAGGGCATATATTAAAAATACATATGGAACGAGATAATGCACGAGCGACGCAAATTCGTTAGGGATGTCACCGCCTAGCAAACTCAGAACTGTACCCAAAAAAAAAGAAGGAAAAAAAAAAGAAAGCAAAATACATATACCCTAGGACCTAGAGTCAAATACTCGATGAAGTTAACTTTAACACTGTTAACCAAAAACTGCACCGAGATCGCCCACTACGCATCTAGTTATCTTAAACTTATTGGTAACACTTTACAGTAAGGTTCATTAGTTAACTACATCAGTTTGCATGAACTAATGAACTGCACTTATAAAGCATTTTTAATCTTTGTTAATGTTAATTTCAACATTTACTAATACTTTATTAAAATCTTGTTAACATTAGTTAATGCACTGTAAACTAATATGAGCAAACAATGAACAGCTGTATTTTTATTAACTAACAAAGATTAACAAAAACAATAACAAATGTATTGCTCATGGTTAGTTCAGTTTAGATCATGGCTAAATTAGTTAGATCAAATTTTAAGCAGTGCAATCCTAACTAGCGGCTTGATTCATAATAAAACAAAAACAGATTCTACCTCGCATTAGCAAACTTTTGAAAAGTTGGTCAGTTTAAAAATGGGGAATCAGACTTTCAGGAAAGATGTAAACACCTAATACAAGCCCTAATATTTAAACGTTAGACGTCATCATGAAAAAAAATATATATAGGACACGTCTTCATCTTAAAGTCAATTAAAGATCTGAATTCGTGCCCTCGAGCAAAGCATAAATTGCTCTTATCAAGTTATATACCTGCATACCCAGGGGTCTTCAGCCTAATTTATTTCTATCGCTTAGATTCCTCTCTGCTCAAAAGTAAAAAAAAAAAAAAAAAAAAAAATCGACACATGTCCTCCCATAGAGTTTTGTTAAAAGAGTTATACACACAATTGACATCATGCTATTTAATGCTGCCGTTGAATTAGATGCATTATCTGCACAGATCTGCTCATTAACATAATCATTAATACAGCCGAGATAGAAGACTAAAGCAACCAGAGGTCGTTTTATCAAAGCCTTGTTTAGTAATGAATGGAACAGGGTTTTCTCTTCCTCGTATAAAAGCTGGTGGCACTCATTGGAAAGATAAAACTGCTCAATGCTTTATTCGACCACTCAGCCATATGGAAGATGACGGATTTAAATTATTTAGCCTAATCGCTTCATTACTTTTTATGCTGGTGAATCCACTAATCCCCTTAATATAGCCACTTGTTTAAACAATTCCCCCTCCCAGGTCTCATATTATTAATTAAAAAATAGGTAGCCTATATTTTATATAAATATTATCGACGTGTTGCGCTAAAAGCAACGGACATGTAAAAGTTGAATTAAAAGTGCGTAAAGTTCAAGAAACATCAAAGAATCCACCAGCACAAGCTGGCGCATATTAAAAAAGCACAGACACACAGAATTCCATATAGATATATTTTCCTATATAGTGAGTTCACAGAATACTGTATGGCACAGTAGCTACTGCTCAAACATGAACGCGCGCTGCCTGTGCTATTCAAAGCGCTGAGAGAGTAGAACTCTGAGCAAATGCGCGCTCTTGTCTGAGGAAAAACACTGACAAGGCAACTAATGAAGCGTGAACAACAGCAGAAAACCAAAGCACCAAATCTCTAAATGTCTACTATAGCTATGTCTCCATTAGCTTCGTAATATTTCCGTAATATACCATAGATAGCCTAACCATTTGGTTTGATTAAAAAAAAAAAGGCAGACGAGAGAAAAGAAGAGGGAAAGGACTAAATTAAAATCGACAAGAAACAGGTCAAGTTTATGGCAATGCTTTCACGAGCTAATCTCCTCGGGTCAGTTCCGGGATCAAACCGTAATGAAGCAATAATGGGCCACATTATTCCAAATTTTTCAATCCGATGGAATTTAAAAGCCTTAATCGTATGCAAATAACGCCGAGCAAAGAAAGTGACCCAAAAGACGATCTGAATGGCCGGGAAAGAAATGGACTCCTTCACGTACCTGATCAAGGGGCCCCGATGATCTTGTAATTTCTTCACTGTCTGATTTTGATCCTCCTTCTCTGTCGTCTATAACCAAGTCGATGGGCATCTTTCCCTTCAAACAGCTGATGTACCGATGACAGAAATTGTCACAAAGTTCATGTACCTATAGATACAAAAGGAAGGGGGGGATAAAAAAATCACAAAGGGTCATCACAGCGAGTTGACAAGTGCATCCACAACTCCTATTGACATGGAAAACCTCTCCCAATGGCCTTCTCTGATAGCTATCAGACGCATGCAGAATGGGAAATAACTTTACTCCCTCTCAAAATAGAGATATCGCAGAAAATTGACACTGACAAGACGACGCACGGGCAACACCGTATTCAACACCCGTGTTAAATTCATCTGCTCCCGGGGTTGTGGCCATTAGAGACATGGCCTGCTTGACTGACATTTAAGGTAAACTGTTTAATTTCGTCCAGTTATTTCATTACCACCTCTTTACAAGGGAATAATATGGTGGATGACATTCAGTGGCGAGAGGACAATTCTTCATTTATGGATGAATGCTCGAAATATCGCTTCGCCGCGTTATCTAAGCACACATAACCCCAGAGGCTCATGCAAATATCTGGAGACATGGGAGCCAATGGTTATTATGTGTATTCAATACTGTAAAACTATATGGTTTGGCGATAAATCACTTGATAGGCTCACTCTCGTCGTGGAAACAGGTGTTGATAAAATTCCTCCCAATTGTATCGCTGATAACAACCGCTGATAAGCAACATGGTCGACTTTATCATATCATATAATCATATAGGCCTAATAAATTAGCAAAACACCGTTAGGTGGCACAACAAGCAGAGAAACACTGAAATGACTGCTCTGGAATATCTGTGGCCGTGGAAGCAGGTTACATTGTAATTAAACTCGGAGGAGAAATAGGCAGCGTGATTGATTTTGACACTAATTACAACAGACCAGGAAAAATACATTTATGCAGATGAGGCCCATAGGTTTGAAGAGAGGACTGGCCAGTTGGGGGGAAACTTTGATTACCTTTTCGAGCTCCAAAAGATGAAACCGTAAAACTTGAATGGCTTGTATCATCTGGGGGAAATGAACAAATGAAGAAGAAAAAAGGGGTTCACTTTAAAGGTGATGGATTCAACAGGCCCAGGACAATTACAAACGATAGTTACACAATTACGTGATTTATGACATTTAGGATCATTTACGACACGAGATTACTATCTAGGCAATGCATGGCAATTAAGTCAGATTATACTTCATTTATGAATACATTATCACTTTAACCCATGCTGTAACGAGGGGGATGTGTCCTCCATCAACATAAGCTTCAATGCTAAGACATAATTTGTATTTAATTTCCACCCTTAAAAAAAATTAAAAAATTAAAAATTAAACCAAAACGGTATTCATAACAATTAGCAATGCTATGAAGAAATCAACAAAACTTTCTGAATGTTTAAAAAGTTTAAAACTCTTGCAGGCAAATACAAAATAATAATAATAATTTACTCACCAAATTATCCAGCTCAGGGTTTGATGAAAATAGCGGCTTTTCTGCTCGAATCTGAGACGATATGCATGTAAATAATTAAAAATTGTGAGGAAAAAAGTTCATTTAAAAATAAAAAACCGCAAATTAAATTGAAATGCATTGATTAGCTCATGTGTTTATCAATGTAAAATTAATATAAAGTATTATGATAGTATGGTATAAAGTTACAGACAGTACATCAACTACACAGTAGGCTACACATTAAAACATGCAAAAAACTTTTCTGGCGCAATAAAACAGTTTCTGACCTGTTTTGCGAACACTGCTATATCTTCATTGAAAGACTCTGATGAACACACATCGCCTCCAGCCACACCGGGCTCTCTAGGTGTGCAAGTGGCTAATTCACATTTCTCAAAAATCAGTGCTAGAAGTGGGAACAGAGGGTGCCTGGAATAAAAACACACAGGTCACTGCGGGGGAAGCTCTGGATTAGCATTTAGCACACGACACTTTATAACACTTCACAGCTCATTCTCATTGTATAAGAACGCAGTATAACAATCTCATTTGTGTTTGGGAAGTTCATATTTAATTAACTAATTTAATTTATGTCAGCAAACAAAACTGCTTGAGTAGCTACCACTGCGCCACGATAATATGGTGAAAGTGTTTATGTCGATTCGTTTTCTTGTGACTTGCGTTATAACGAGCTTGTTAGTTGTGCATAATACTGTGTCAAACTGGATCGCTGAACGTAGCTATTATCAATATAAACAGTGGACTACAGGGTTAGAGCACCTCAAACGCTCGCGTTGAGTCTAGGCCAAGCATGCAGTGTAACGTGGTTCAAATAGTGGGCCTATATCTTGAGTAAATGTTTAGGGACGTATCTAATCCATAATGAATGGGAGGAAGTTCTATAGCTTGTTACTGAATGCGTATAAATTGCTGTTTCGAACGGCAACCATATTTATAGCACTGTGACGAGAACTATTATGCTCGAGCAGCTTTTGTATGCTAGGCGCTTTTGGAGTCACTCCGCACATATTTGCACATATTATAACCAGAACATGTGCATGAGAAAAAATCCTTTATTGTTTTTTAGCAGTGTTTATAGTGTGGGAATCACTTCTGTGCGCATCTGTCCAAAATATGTATTTAAACAGGCCTGTTAACAATTAAAAAGTTCTAGCTGAAATATACACACACATCGATGTTTTATCCGCAACAATTTTTTGGTTGCACTTTATTTTACATTAGCTACTTACAGGGTACTTAGCTAAAAAAAAGTTCTGGGTAATATAAGTAATTACCTGGGTTAAGGTTAGGTTTAGGGGTAGGTTAAGGGTTAGTACAGAGTTATTACTAATTTATTGTAAATACTATAATAAGTACATATGGGTGACAGGGCTGTAAAATAAAGTGCTACCCGATTTTTTTAAATGCAATATTTATCGACTTAAATATTGAAGTTTAAAACTAAACATTAGTAAGAAATTTAAAACAAAAACATGTCACAAAAAGAAATGCAAAATATGCAGTAAAACATGTTTTTTAAAAGGATGAACTAATCCAAAAGTAAGGGGGAAAACTTTTGGAAAAACAAAAACTAAACCTTCATGGCGCCTCAAGCTCTCGATATGTTTTACAGAAACTATTACGGGTGGAATAATGTGTTATGAGCAAACTTCATCATAAAATATATGTCTTGGCTATCTCCACGTACCCGTAAATGGAGTCTTTATCTCTTTTTAGAGCGTCATTGACGGATGAGCCCATGCTGGGCGGCATGGCGTTGGTGTGGGCTGTGTGCGGGTACTGGTGGGAGTGGAGCTGGGGCCCGTGGTTCAGGTGAACAGCCTGCATGGATCTGGCAGCGTGCGGGTCCCCGTACATCGTGCTCGGGATTCCTACTCCGTCCATCCCATAGTGGGGTATATCTTCGTACTGCACACACACACACACGAAGGGCAACATTCCCATGTTGTCACTTTTATCTCTTACAGAATGCATAAATAGAAGAAGAAAAAAAAACTACACTAAAAGAAAATATAAATGCCAGCTACATCGGATGTTCTCGGACTAAAAAAAAATAAGGCTTTTGCGAAATGAAAACACGTTCTGGTATTACAAAGTAATTAAATATATCAACTGTACATGCAGATTATCTCGTGCTTCTTACACTATGCGCAAAAATCGCCATTTATTGATTGCAAAAAGCTATCATGTGATTTTTAATAAACAGACAGACTTAGAATGTAGCGTCGGACACATTCACATGAAGTGCTGAGCTACAGCTTTATTGAGATCATCACAAAAATATCACTTTTATGTGCATTTTATATTTTCACAAGTGCAGCTCGAGTAACAGGTAATGTCATTTGCATGTAATAACTGTGTATTATATTGTTGTCAAACTAAATGCATTAATATTAACATATGCAGGACTATTAAGATTAGTCTGATTAAACACAAATTTGCATTGCTCATTCGAAGCTTTAAATGGAGTATTTGATTGGTTTATTTAAAATAACCAATCAGTGACATTGATAATTTATCGTAATTATTATAAGTGTCATGATATTGTAATATGGGAAAGTGTGATGATGAGAACATGACACATTTGAATTCTAAATCTACAGAGGTGTAAGCAGGACAGCAGGGTGCTGTTGTAGTTCCTCCATCAAAAGCAAAAGGTCGGAGGGTTGCGATGAAATCTACTTTCTGATTGTTTACATTTGATTACAAATGCAAAGGAAAAAGTGGCCAAACAGTAAATGTCAACTTTACAAGTTCAAGCGCACAACTCTTTCATTGTCCTGCTATTTGAAAGTGAATGTTATTAAATAGAATATAGTAGCTAAATAAAAAATACAGCTCGGTTGAATTTGCTCCCTATTAATATTCATGCAAGTTTTAGTTGAACTATTCAAATAGTTTAAAAGCTTTAAATAATTTGGCCTTTTGAAGAGATGCAGTGCGTTTAGTAAAAGTAGTTCAAAAATTAGGAATTGCTCCCTGTCAAACGTAATTAGACAGTATCATATTTTTTCCTAAATTGTTTCAGTGTCCCAAAAGAGACATACACGCAAGTGAGCGATGTAAAAAAAAAAAGAAAGAAAGAAAAAAAAAGAAAAGCTGGCAGGCAAAAGAAGAGAAAGTTTGACTGCGAGACTGTCATCGGCCACGTTTCAGTATTTCCAACTGCTTTCAGCAATACGGAGTCGAAGAAACTTTTCGGGATACGTACCCTCTGCGCCATCGCCCTCCACACTCCCTCGTCTTCCTTTAATCAAAAATATATCCCCTATCAGGCCAGGGTGAATGGGAAATAAACACGCAAATTCCAAATGCGGGATATGTTTTCCCCCTAAAAAAAATCCAAACGCCTCTTTCAAGCGAGCGATGAAGCCAGTCCTTCACCACAAGTTCAGCCAGGCGCGTTCGGCGATAAGTCCCCTTCGCTTTCTTTCCCCTGGACAGCGACAAGGATCGAGCGAAATCTTCTTTTCCAAAGCAGTATGAAAACAGCCCCTCAAACAAAACTAGCGCATCTCATGGCTTTTTGCCACTCCGGCTGTCAATCAATCAAACGCGAGCTTGTCAAAGTGCTGAATGAATGATGATCCTCTGCGCGCTTCCACTGGTTAGCACCCCTAACGAGAATACTACTCAAATGCTCAAAAATGAAGCTCTCTCTCGTTTCTTTGATCACTCTCGGCTCCTGAGTTGATTTTTTATGCAATAGCTTCTAAATGAGATCAAGAGGAGGTGGGCTGATAATTCTGGCTTAGTTTTTCTTAAAGGAGCCACGATCGATGCTGCGAGCTGCCTTTCTCCGTTTGTGTACAATGAGTGTGTGTTGAACGCGGCTCGGCAGCTGAATCTGGACCAGACTGCAGAAACCCGGAAGTAGTGGTGGCCATAACAGGTCGCGTCTTGCACAATGCGATGGGCCACATCAAGTTCCAGCCAAAGCAGGGGGGGTGAAATGTGTGGGACGCAGAAAAGCGCAGACCACCACGATTCAACATGAGCCGAGATATAATAACATGTACAGACCGCGTTGTGCTTTTTGGTCGACGGCACTGCATGCGTTCATAACTCATGCCAAAACGTACAATATATAAAGTCATGTACGTGTTTACATAAAAGCAGTGACTATTAGGGCAGCGTGGACTCTTTCACATCAAGTCACTATCAACACTGCTTATGTTTATTAGCAGTTATGATTTTAGAATCTATTTACAACAGTGGAGAAACTTGGACGCCCTGTTTAAGCCGCGTAATGAAGTTTACCCACGCGTCGTGTGTGCTATTACGCGGAAGCCTATAAAAATGCACCGCGTGAATAATACGAAATATCAGGGGTTATGATGCCATATGCCTATTTACTTTATATTTCACACAAACATCATTATTCAGAAACAGCATATGCTGCACTTCAGCAGTGCCGCGTGCGCTCTGAGCCAAAACACCCCTGCCATTTGTGAATGGGCTCATCCACTTACTGTAGGATCTTAGGAGTTTTGGTGCAGTGTCCAATGAAAGCGTGCTACAGGGAATCAAGCCGTCTATTGGTTCTAAGAATGATCAATCATTAATTTATCGCTCGATATGCTTCCATAAATGAAGAAAGGGTGGAATGAAAATACTGTAATCTGGAGGGAAAATGTACTCTTCGTATTCTGTTTTGTTCTATGCTCTCTCTCTCTCTCTCTCTCTCTCTCTCTCTCTCTCTCTCTCTCTCTCTCTCTCTCTCTCTCTCTCTCTCTCTCTCTCTCTCTCTCTCTCTCTCTCTCTCTCTCTCTCTCTCTCTCTCTCTCTTCCACATAGTCTCCTTCTCTCTCCCACTCAAACACACACCCACGGAGACAAGATATTCATTATTTTTTATAGCTAAATATTTATTTATTTTTGTCATTTGCTCATTTACTCTTTCTTACCATCGTATTTCTATTCCCCATTCAAAGTTGTGGATATAACTTTTGTCCACGGTGATGTGCAACATATTCCCTTTTGCTTAAACAGTTTGGAGAGGGGTTTTGTGTTCTGGTAAATTTAAAATGCATCTCCTCAAATAAAGGAATCTCTTTGTTATTATAAATAATACATCTTCCATTAAATGCTCAAATGAACGCTGAATAAGCGGCTTTAAACACACACTGACTGATGTAGGCTGAAGTGCACCATTGTGGGCAATACAACTGACCCGGTGACAAGGTGTATGAAGTTTGTCTGAGGAGCATCTGTCATCGATCAGAAGCGATTAATGCAAGGAACAGTGTCTTATCAGCTGCCACGAGCACAACACAATCCTCGCTTCCCGCGAAAGAGCCGCGCGCATTTACAGGCATGAAATTACATCAAATCCCCAAAGCGCTCGGCAAACGAAGGGTGCGCGCCGCGCGGTGCGGGATCTGATGTGGACTTAAACACAAATGAAAGGAGGATTCGTGAAGCAAATGTAACAGATATGCCCAGCGCCGTACAACAGACGCCTTTATTGGTAAGTGGCTATTGTCTTTTCCAAGTCTACAATAAAGTTTTAGTTTATCTAGTTAAAAAAAAATCTTATAATTTCAGTTATGTACTATAGTTGTAATGCATATACACTCTGAGTGGAGTCAAGTCGTTTGTTTTATTGATGTTTGCAATCTTAACATTAGTTTTGTGTCTGTCTCAATTATGTGAGAACCAAACGGCATGACTTGAAAGCTGTACTTACCCAAACGCTTAACTGCTGTCACAGTACCAGAATAGCATTATAAAGTAATTAAGTTCCTTCAATTAGCATCTATAAAAGGACGCTATAGAGCACAATGAGGGCATGGACTTTCACTGTTTAGGTTGCCTTTTAGTGAGGGTCAGCAGATTGCAGCACGCATCACTGAGTTAATGCCATCATTTCGGATAATTTGGGCTTAGAACGAGATGGGAATCGTTCGACGTAAAATGTTTCAAAATAAGTCCGACTGTTTACCGAGACAACTAAACGGGCATTATATCACATGGAAAGCACTGGCGACATGTGTACAACTCCGCAATAGGGTTGAGTGTGTTTCAAAGCATCCATTTAATTATTAAAATTATGGTGACACTTTATTTTACAGTGTCTTTGTAACGTTACATGTGAGTAGTTAGTAATAACTATAAATTATATACAATTACATGCAACTAACCCTAAAGTAACCAACCCTAACGTTATATATCAAGTAGCTACATGTAGTTAATTAATATCACTCAGAACTTAAATGTATAAATACAGTTTAACAAGGACACCTTCAAATAAAGAGTTTTACAGTGTCCTTGTTACACGTTACATGCAATAACTATAAATTATGCATAACTACATGTAACTAACCCCAAACCAAACCTTAACCCTATAGTAAGTTCAGTACATGTAGTTAATTATTATTACACTGTAGGCGACATATTTACAATGTAACACGGACACCTTAAAATAAAGTGTAACCAAATAAATTAACCAAACTTATTTATAGGCTATAATTAGGAACACGTGCACCAAGTATTTAGTACACATATATATTAAGGTAGAGCATTAGTATAGCTGTAGTACAATAAATATATCTAATTTTAGAACAAGGGGGTTTTGAACAATTCGGCTGTTCCTTTTAGCAGATTCGAGTCACTCTTGAAAACAAGAACGTGTTGGAACGCATGAAGACATGTGGATGTTTATCACAAAAATGTTCCCATTCTGCCTCAATATTTGTTATTCATTTAAATCTTTCTCTCCGTAAGTCGCTATTGAAAGCAACATGCCGCTGTGGTTCAGAAGTCAAACGGAGGTCATCCTTTATTTCCCCCCGCAGCGATCAGCGACCAGGGGCCAGGGGCCAGTCAGCAGTGAACCCTGCCTTCTCCAGCACTGACAACTGCATGGGACTTACAAGACTAGCGGGAATGGGTAAGACGCATGGGAGAAAACAGCAGGCTACTAACTTTCTTTTTTTATATCTTTCCACTGCTTGGTTATTATGCTCTTACAGCGTGTTTCAAGGGCTTGTCAAATGTTTGAATATTCAAATAATAATTTAGCTACTCTATGCGTTTCCTTGTCCGAGCGCGCAACGGAGACGTGTTAGACAATTACTAGCAAATAAAAGAAGTGAATCTTTATTTAGGCTACTAATCGTGGGGGGAACGAAATCCATGGTCCCGCGTGGCAAGATTATGACGACGAAAGTGTGAAACTAAAAAAACTTTGTGCACTTTTGAAGGTTTTCCAGGCTAACTGAATGAATCAAACACGTGCACTGCGTCCAGGAATTTTAGGAACAATTAGTCGGAGGGGGGAAACAATGGCTAAAATCATTTTTATACTACAGGTGTAGTGAAAAAAACTAGATTAAGGCTATTTACTTTCGTTTTATTAGTTGGAAACATATAAAAAAAGAAGCGCTAAGCATTTGTTTATTTCATGTTTATTTATAGGGCTAATTAAAATTGAAATCAGTGTTTTTATTTAAATTTCGCTTTGTGATTTTATTTGAGCCTACTTTGCTGTTTTATTTTGCTTGATCTTATTTTATTTTCAAAACCTTCTTAATTGAGAAACGTACTGCAGGCCAATTGGATTTGCAATAATGTAAACTACTACAGAAGATCCAAAAGAAAAACATATTTTTCATATGCAAAGGCTCGGAGTGACCTGTATGCTTGATCATGTGCGCCTTCTACTGGAAACATACTGAATTTTCTTTCTTTGTTTCTTAATGAGAGACGCAATGACTTTTCTGACATGCACAAAAACAGATTTGCCGTCAATAATATCGCTCTAATCTTAAATAATAGTTAAAATACCAATTCTTAGTTTATTAATGATGATAATCAATATGACAATTAAGGAGACTGCATGAATATTTAAAAGTAGCCTACTTGACAAAGTTTGATGACGCATCATTGATCCGTCAAAGCTTGAAATCTGGCAACTTACTCTTAATTCAGCTTATTATTTTAAGTTTATTCTTCCATTAGGCTACTAAAATCTGCATTGTTTATCGCATGGTGTGATACTGGTGTAACCATTCGGATATTTGTGTTAAAAACAAATCATCAGAAAATGTCCCACTTCGCCTGCGTTCACATTAATTAGCAAAAGAATAATTCAAATAAATTGCGCGTTGACTTCTAGAGGTTTTCGGCTGTAAATTATTTTTCTGTTTTCCCGTAACTGACGAACATTAATTACGAATAAGTAAAACAAAAACAGTAATATTCAAATTACAAATCTTAAATAAATAAAAAACTAATATGCAGGTATTTATAATGCCTTATCTATGCGCGCTCGTGTCAACATGAAAAATTAAAAACTAAACAACAGAAGGTTCAACAGCACTTCTCAAATGCGTTTACGTTCATACTTTAAGTTTTAAATATTATAATCAGGTTTAATACGGCTTATTATTGGATTTTACCAAAAAAAAAGTGCATGGCGCAGTTTCCAATAACATTAATAGATTACTAAGAGGCGTAAAGACAAGCACTTGTGAGATATCAGTATGTTATTATTTCCTTTATTTTAACCAGGAGAATCACATTGAGATATTGCTATCTCTTCTTCCAGAGAGACCTGATGTTGTTACATTTATGAAGGTTGTGTCGTTGAATTGAATTGTTTTGTAATGAATGCTTAAACCAACTCATGTTATCATTGAAACTAACACTGCAAATGTCTTGAAAATGAGATTTCTATTAAAAAACACACACAAATACTGCACTTGGATTTGTGTTTTTATTGTGAACATCAAGTTTTCACATGATTTCTAAATTTGTCAGCTTTGCCTGTTGACACAGTTGGGATCGGAAAATACTGTGTCTGAGTCTCTGAGAGTGTGGTGTGCTCAATCCCACCCGTTCTCTTGGTCTATCAGCTATAAGTGCCAAAACATTTGTCACTTGAGTTATTATTTCAGGTGTGCTAATGGGCTCAGAGCCACGAGAGAGGAGGAGGAGAAGGTGGGAGAGAGAGAGAGGGGGTTTGATTAGTGTGATTTCATTTGACCGGAGCCTATAGCCACAGGCTGGCAGAGCCCAGAGGTGAAAAGAGTAGGCCGCTGCCCTCAATGAGAGATAGCGAGAAGGGGAGAAAGAGAACGACAGAGGGTCTGTGACGCCTAAGCCAATCACAAAGTGCAGGGATGAGTCTCACACCTCCGGAGGAGGCTGTGAATTGATCAGCACCTTTGAGAGAAAGAGAGAAGAGGGGGGAAAGAGGAGGGGTGGCGGCAGAAGAGTGCTTTTGCGGAGGACGTGTGAAGACCCATATATTCGTGCAAGGACACAGGGAGAGAGCCAGGGCTGGACTCAGAGTACCAGCACACACTAATGAGTCTCTACACGCCGGCCGGGGTCTTCATGTTAAGAGCATCCTCGAGGGCCGGGCCAGTGCGCTTCATGTGCAGCGTCACGTCTGCGTCCTCACATTCAGAATTAGAGGACACTTCTTTCCATGTACTGGACAATCCCACTAAAGCCATGGACTTTAAATCTGGTAACCTAAAAATAAGTTATATTTGTCAAAAATATTATCAGCTTGACTTCTGAGGTTACACCAACACAAGGGTGGTCTGAGATTGAAATAGCTCTTCAAAACCTTGTTTGCTGAGCATATTGATGTATATTATATACATATTGAAACCATGTCGAATGCATCCATCCCTTTATAGCCTTTCTTTTGCATCATAATATGCTTCTTGATATTGCAAAGCATATAGAAAGCATTTTATTGGACCAAAATTTGGACACGCCCATGGGTGCAAGATGAGTCATCATTATTTTTGGTCTGTTTCTATTTATTTTAATCATGTCTATCTGCTAAATGAAGTTAAGTACACTGGCATATTGATGATCTCAATGCTAACAGACATAGAATAAAAGTCAGACAACTGCAATTTTGGTAATAAAAAAATAAAAAAAGTACTACTACAATGTCATACAATTTCTGTATTTCAATAATTGGAGGGACATTCCTCATCTGGAGAGCATTTTATTTGGACACGCCCATTAGTTCAAGATGAGTCATCAATATTTTTGGTATGTTTTTATTTATATTAATTATGTCTTTTTGCTAAATTAAGTTCACTATATCATATCACTGCCAACAGACATGAAATAAAAGCCAGACTACTCTAATGTTGGTTAAGAAATAGATTTATTATGAAATGTACTTCTACAATTTCATACAGTGAGTGATTTTTCACGTTTTATGTACAGCACTTTGGTCGACCAAGGTTGTTTTAAAGGTGCTTTATAAATAAACGGAATTGAATTGAATACTACAACAAGGTTGATTGAGTACTAAGGGGAGGGACATCTTCATCTGGAGAGCTTTGGACACGCCCATTAGTGCAAGATGAGTCATCAATATTTTTTGTTTGTGTTTTATTTTTTTTATTACATCTATATGCCAAGTTAATTTAAGTACACTAGCAAATAAATGATCTCAATGACAACAGGCATGGAATAAAAGCCATGAAAAAAACCCAATTAAAAAAAAACTTTACAAATTACTATTTCATTTTAATAGTTAAACAAGTTTGATTGATGAGCTAGCTCAAGTTTGTGTTTTTTTTTTTTTATAAGTGAAACAGAAGACCTCACCTGTGGATCAAGATGAGGAAAAAAAAAAAGGTAGCCTTCAAGTCAACCACGCACTCAATCAAGCAAATATTTCTGGAGTTGGTCATTAGCTCTTTGAAGCACTGGAGTCCCCCGGCTAAACTTCATAGCCGTGCGGTGTAAAGGAGGTTGGTGCGCTTGGGTCCCTGGGGGCCACACTCTTGCCCTGGGGTAGGCCACAATCGCTGAGGCTTCTGACCCAAACACTCCACACTTTGATTGTAGACGCTCTCGATTAACAATAGACTGAATGGGCTCTGACGCCGTGGGTCTCGCCGAGTCCCTAATGGAAACTTAAACCAGAAAGAGAGAGAGAGAGAGAGAGAGAGAGAGAGAGAGAGAGAGAGAGAGAGAGAGAGAGAGAGAGAGAGAGAGAGAGGGACTCCAAGGCGATACAAGCTGCACACATTAGCTAGAACATCGCTGGTCGTGTGCTGATCTGGAGATTTACAGTTTATAAAAAATACAAACATCAAAAATTGTGTAATGAATTGACATGACAAAACAAAATGGGTTCACCAGAGAAGGAATTTTCCGTATCAAGGTGAGCCTCTCGTGCCACGGGAACGCAGGACTGCGTTCGTGAACAAATGGTGTGGGGACAGGAGCGCTGAGCCGGGCCACAGGGAATGTGCTTTACACTGAGAGTGAAGTTTACAACACTGTCACATGCAGCACCCCGTTAAATGAGTTTACAGCTCAATTCTACAAAAAACAACATCAGTTAAGGTGATAACTACAACATGGTAATGCCACAACACCCTTTAAACATATACAGGAAACTGACAGCTGAGAATTGATGTTATAGCAAGACCTTAAAGATTTACACTACCGTTCAAAAGTTTGGAGTCGGTAAGATTTGTAATGATTTTGAAAGTCTGTTATGCTAACACGGGCTGTAATGATTTGAACAAAAGTAAAAACGGTAATATTTATGTGAAACATTATTACAATTTAAAATAACTTTGTTTTAATATTTTTTACAAATGTAACTTATTACTGTGATGACAAAGCTGAATTTTAGCATCATTACTCCAGTCGTCAGTGTCACATGATCCTTTTTGCTGCTTCATATTTGGAGGAAACTGATACATTTTCTCAGGATTCTTTGATGAATAGAAAATTCAAAAGAACAGCATTTATTTGTCATTTATTTTGTAACGTTATAAATGTCTTTACTGTCATCACGTAGAAAATAATAAAATACCACAGATTATGTATGCTACCAGTCAGAAGTGTAAACAAACTTGACTGAATTTATGTTTCTCGTGATCTTAAATCCTTTTAA